AGCTATGTCCTCCAGCTGTCAGCTCTACACCTCATGCAAATGATGGCTAAAGAGGCTGGTAGGCTCCTGAACTGATCTCATTTGTAAGTTTATAAGCAAAAGGTCTCACGCTGTTGAAATTCATCACCTTTCCCAGTAGATCAGAAAGTGATGTCAAGCCTCAGGCTAGCGCAGGGACAGAAGGCCTGGCCTGCTAGTCACCTGCACCCACACCAGTGAGAATGAACTTGGGAAGGGCAGGCGTGTAATGCAAAGCAGACTGGTTTCCAGAGGATGGTGAATGGTGGCTCTCTTAAAGACAGGCTGGCATTAAATACCCCAAACTGAAAGACGAAACAATTGCAATTTTAAAATAAATAAATTTGATGGCCAGAAAAGAGATCAGGTTATTAGATATTGGACACTTGCAATTCCCCTGGTGTCAACTTACAAAGTATGGAGTCTTACTGACCATGAGGTTTTTTGTTTGTTTGAGTTGTGGCTTTTTCTTCCCTTACCCTTTCCAATAAGAACAAGCATGCTCTGCTCCCGGGGTACTTGTGCATGTCATTAGTTCAGCAATGTGCCTTTCATGAAAGGTAAATCCTTTACTAAAGTCTCTGCTTAACCAGGGGACAGATAACTAACAGCAACATACTTGGTGGAAAGAAGGAAAAGAGGCATCCATCAGCAGGTTTGGCTTGTCCAGCCCCAGCTGTGTCAGAAGCCCTGAAGCTGACTTCAAAACAGCAATTCAGCATTCTCCACACCCTGCCTGCAGCTCTCCAACAGTGACCTGAAAAGCCTTTCTTAAGGCTTGTACTTCCTACATGTTCCGTGAGACATTGTATTTTCTCGTATCAAATGACATCAGTAACTCTCCACAGATAGCAAACCAGACCAAAACCTATCATATAAAAAGTACATGAACAGATTACATCAGAGACAACTGGATAATTTCCATTTCTGGACACATCTGGGTTATGAAAGGCTCACAACCTTTTGTACATTTAATACAGCCCCTTCAGAAAAGTGAGAACACTATAGTACTTTCAGATCGCAGGCTGATCTCCAAGCTAATAAGCAGCCACAAACCTGTAGATCTTGGTTAAGATTTTAAACCAGATTCATCTGTTGCTGAGTTCTCCTTAAATGAAATGTAGTTCCATGGAAATTAAACACAGAACTGAGCAAAGGCTCCCAACTTCCCCTAGAAGAGGTTACACTTCTCCAGTGTATTCACCTGCCTGAGATGTTGAAACAAAATGTCCTTTCTAGTAAAAAAAGTCACAGACAGGCAAGCAATAGGACTGCTAGGGATTGTTCTGGAAAGAGGTGTATACACAAAATGAGAAAATGCAGAATGCTGTGGTTCCTGTTGTCCTGAGCTCACTACTAGGGTCGCATGGGCTCTGGCAGGACCTCGCCAGGGAATTCAAGTGAAGTGACCAGCTATAATAAATTGATCACAACAGAAGGTGATAAGGGGCTATGTACTCAAACCAAAGTCAAATACTGCAGATGACATCAGGTGTGGAGCTAGCAGCTAGCGCTGCTTCCAGGCCAATGACACTGACTTGAGAGTACTTTTTAAAAGAAGCAAACTTAATTGCTGCAGCCAGTTCCTCCAGTGACACCTCTCTGCTGCATCTCTCATGCCACCAATTTTAGCTTTTTACATTTACCGTGCACCTCTCCTTGCATTCCCTTGCTACCAACACCCGCTCCCTTGCTGCTTCCAGACTTGCATTCCTCTGCCACCAACAGTCTCCGATAACCAGTCTTGGCCAAAACTCAGTGCCATTCACCCTGATATACTGGTCGTCTTCAACAGAACCACCCCATTTTGCTTGTGAAGCCCCGTGAACCCTGGTAACAAGAGACACGGAAAGGGCAACAGTAGTCAGCATGTTCTTTGCCTTAGGTTCTCACTACTGTGCTTTGTGCTCAGCAGCAGAAGCGGTGGGAATGAGAGGTTCCCCATTAGAGAGGAAAACAGTTAAAGAGCCCTGGAGCTGGCTGGGAACACATGTTGCTGTGGGACCAGATGGGTTCTGTCTGAGGGCAGGGATGGGGCTGACCATGGGCAGGTCATGGCCATCATGGAGAGTTCCTGCTGATGGAAGAAAGGCAAACTGTCACATCCACCCTCAGGAAGGTGTGGGGGTAATACAGGCTGGCCAGCCTCGCCCCAGGGCCCGGGAAGGCTTCAGAGCAATCAAACTGGAAGACACACCCAGGCACACAAAGCAAAAGGCAGTGATTAGGCACAGCATGGCTTCACCAAGAGCAAGCTGTGCCTGGCTGACCAGACAGATTTCTGTGACCACTGGTGTCGTGGTTTGAGCCTGGTCAGCAGCTAAATGCCACACAGCCGCTCACCCACCCTCCCCCCACTTGGGAATGGGGAGGGAATCGGAGGGGCAAAGGGAGACTCGCGGGTTGAGATAAAAAGTTTAATAACAGTGACAGAATAATTCGATGACAGCAGTATCAATGGGTAACGTACAATACAGTTGCTCACCATCCGCCTGCTCCCAGCTGGTGATCCTGAACACAGAGGCACCGCAGCAACGCTCCCAAAAGTGAGAGCCCCTGCCGGCCCACTCCTGCCTTTATATGGTGAGCACAATGTCACATGACATGGAATATCGGCCAATCCGGGCCCAGCCCTCCAGCTGTGCTCCCCCCCACCCCCAGGCAAGGGCTCTGGGGCCTGGGGAGCCCCTGGGGTCTTGGGGTGCTGCAGCACTCCTCCTGCTGCCGAACCAACAGGAACTCTATTCCAGCCCCAACCAGGACAACTGGCTCTGTAGCTAACGGAGCAGCATTGGGTAGTGTTTAGCCTGAATCTAGCAAGGCCTTTGACATCATCTCTCATAGTTAACTTAGAGTAAAATTGGTGAAATACAGAGTTAATAGGTGGACAATAGGATAGATGGAAAATTGGCTGAACAACCAGACTCAAAGACTATGACAAGCTGTGCAGAAAATACTCAAAACTTAATTTGCAAGTAATTTCTTAGGTGCTTACTCTGCCTTAAAATCACATGGGCTGCAGGCCCTCTACCTTTCAGGATTTGAAGTATGGAGTTTGGCTATGAATCTTCATTCTGTCTATATTTCTTCCCCCTCTGTTGACGGAATGTATTTTATCATCTGCTTGAAGTACACTGTCATTTTGGATCCCTCTTCCTTTTGGGTTTCATCATGCTAAAATCCGCTAGAACACTTTCTCTAGTCATTGCTCGATGTGTAAGCTGTTTTAGGGCAAAGAAATGATATGTAAATCTCCTTTATAATTACATGAAGAAAAATAATACAAAATGCTGCAATAAACCATGGCCAAAAGCTTCTCTGTCAACACTGCTCAGTCAGAATCTAAAGGGTTGAGAGGATAAAGCGTTCTTACCATGGAGGTATCTGTCCCCGTGTTAAAAATTTGCCAAGTTGCTTGTCACCTCAAACACGTTTCTGAGACCTTAAGCACTCTCAGTGCACACATTCCCTTTTTACATGGTGTAGCTTTATGTCCTTCACAAGAAAGGCACCCTCAGGAACTGAAGAGCTTTACTGTGTCTTTGGAAAAGAAATTTTTACCTATAGCAAGTTGATATTGCTTCTTCCCTAACTGCTTATGACCGTGCTGTAACAGAGCTACTCTCATCATCGCCCTTCCTGCATCCAGCTGCCAGGGCCAGCCAGACTGGAAACAGGACATGGTCAACCGCCTCGGTACCTCCCACATGCTGTGCACAAGGTGACTGCTACCACTTTTTCATGCTGTAGCCTGAAATGGCAAAAAGTGGATTACTGAACACCTGTTGATGGACAGAAATGTCTTTAGAGTGTGGGGGGGTGTCACTCTGGGACAAAAGGCAAACTTCATTTTCAATCTATAGTTCTAAAAAGAGGGAAGTTACAAGGATTATTAAACTAGAGGTGTGCATTGCTGAGTCCAATAAAAAATCAAGTACAGCTGGCTGAATAGTCTTACAGTAACAGGAAGTTACTTATTTCATACAGACTTTTTTTTTTTCATCAGATCCACAGATAACTACATGAAGCTCACACAGCTTACCCTGTCCTGAGCTCGCACGCAGTCTGCACCAGGAAGTGGTTAAGGACCCCAGCTGAAATGCAGACCAGCTTCCACAGAAGGCTACTACAGTCCACTCAGAGAAAGAAGAGGTATTTCTGCATTTAAAAAATGGTAAACCAAATAAATCAACACCCCATAGACTTGTAAAGGAACTTTTATGTCTTAAAAGCTCATCTCCCCTAGGCAAAAAGAACGACTGGTGCAGAGCTCCTCTTCGCCTGACTCAATGGAGATACAACATAGAATAGAATTTTCAGGGTTTCATTTTTGGTAGTTCAAAGCAAAGATTTTCAGTTTGGATCTCCAAAATATTTGTACAGTGAACCCTGAGAAACAGTCTCCAACACAGCAAGCCTGTCACAAGATGCACTGCCAGTGTGCTGTTGTGGCACAGACTTCACTCCTGAGAACTTCTTGCCTGTTAGGCATCCGGTCAGAACAACTTTAGGACAATGTACTTTGGCTTTTCCAAAACATAAGCAAAGAATAATTGCAACAGAGTAGTAATTGCAGTATATATGTGATGTGCAGTTTATACATGAAATATTTTATTAAACAAAAAAATATCGCTCTGAGTCACCTGTGTGGATGAATAAGCATGTGCTCTCAAGATAATTTGGAAGTGAAAAGCTTATGGTAGCTTCACAACACGTTTTCTACTTCAGGACTCCAAACCTAACATTCTTTAGTAGACCAAATGTTTTTAAAAACGGGACCTGAATTTAAGAACTGTGAAGCATAGGCTTTTATTAAAGCCTGTAGAAGAGGAAGAAAACAGCTTGAAAACCATATCGGTCATGTTTCCTTAGTATAAAATGCTACAGAACAACCCCCAGTATCAAGTACCACAGCAATTTATGATGCTAAAGGAAAAAAACACTCCAAACCTCTCCCAAAGCCCACAAATATAGGCAAACAATGAACAATCTCAAATTATTTATTAGGAAAAGACAAAGTACTGTTTCAACATTCATACAGAACAAATGGTAATAAACTCAGGAAAATAAACTGTAAAACGTAGGCCCATTATGGAGGATTTGGGTTATGACAAAGTAAATGAAATCGAAACTTCATTCATGCAAACAAGCAGTAAAGAATTATTTACAGTTTTGATGGGATGAATTACAGCATTGGCCATATTTGCGCCCCAGTCAAATTACTCAGTGACATGTTAAAGGGATCTAATCTGTACATTCAATAACGAGAATCTATAAAAAGAAAAATAATTTAAACAATTTACAAGAGCTGTATTGCAGATGGCATAAAGGTATCATTTACAAGAGTTGTATTAACAGGTGACACAAAGGCATTAATCAGTAATTTATGAATAAAAATTTGTAGCACATATTTTTACATCACATCTTCAGTGTCTGAACAGTAAACAAGAAAGTGGAGACATAACATGAGTGCAATGTAATAGAATAAGGCAACTTAACCAAATGGCTCTTCGGAGAACTTCCATCCTACAAGGGTTTACAATTTATAAATTTGCCTGTCCGTTTTGCTAACCAACTAAAACAAATACGTGAAGACAGCAATTGGTGATTAGAAGGCCTGCATATGATGAGACAGTAGATGGAAAATTAAATACTCACTTGTTAAAATGCCAAAACTCAGGGATGTAAAAAAGTGCAGATTATCCAAAGCCCTCTATATCCTACCTCTATAACATCAACACACTAATTTTCATGTTCTAGATGTCATAATTTAGTATGTCTCAAAATACTAATTCACTAGTCTTATAATTAAGTTCTTCTGTAATGCACAATCTGTAACTAATATACCTCCTCCCAAAGCTTGTATTTACAATGTCCTTAAATTGATGCTAGAAGAATTGGGAAATGCTAGCAATTTATTGCAAAGATTAGCAACTGGCACACCAAATTTCAGTTTATTTTACAGGCAAGACTAATTAACGCATTTAGCCTTTAAAAATATTTTAAATGGGTATTTTTGCATTTTCAACAACTACCCCAAATGCTTAAGGTAACAGCTGATTTTCCCAACATTTTAGCAGAGAAAAAATGCCAATTGTTTTTTACTTGATAGTATTTGTTTAAACAGCTACAGTGACAAAACAAGGTGAAGGTTAACACTGAAATCCAGCAATGAAAAATCATCCATATCATAATGCACAATGGGAATGTTACGGGCCTTACAGAAAGCAGCACAGGAAGCCAAACCTGCCAATGACTTGCCACATTAACAAACACAATCCACATACTCTAAGAAAAAAACAAAAGGGAAACTTGAAATAAGGCCAAAAAATATTCGCAAATGATAAATTTTACGCCCATCAAAAGGACCAGGCCATAAATATTTTATTTACAATTTCTATTTAGAATCTTTATTTTCAACAAATGATTTAGCACCAGCAGGAATATGCAAAGTAGCATTACTGTGTTCCCCAGGCAGAAGACCTTGAGGCCAAATCTTGCTCATTAGTTTAAAAGCCCCCATTTAAGAGAATCTTCTACTCGGGTAACTAAAGTGAGCAGGATTTGGCATTCAGGGTATGCAAACCTAGACTGCTCAAACATATTCCATTAGCAATTAATAATTACAAATATATTACAGCATCTATTGAGATGTTTTCAGAAAGTGTGTTTTTAAGAATACTTAACATGCTTTACATGTGTGAAGTAAAACTAATAAAACAGGCTTCTTTGCAGACTTCATTTAAGTAATTTTATCACAGATGACAGAATACAGGTGATGTACTTTGGAATATATGAATGAAACTTAAAGAATGTAAGCAGGGAATTATCCCTCTATACTGCGATAAAGCAATTTTTACCTCCCATGGTCATGTCTGAGGACTTATTTCACCCATCGTATCCATAATGATTGTTAAGTCTGCCCCCTCTCCCTGTGCGTTTATGGGAAATGGAAAAATTAATACAACCCAAACAGTTACTGTATGTGTCAAGCGTGTTCCTAGCTCTGCACTGTGACCTACACCTACTTCTAGTCTGACCCACAGGTTTTTGTTCACTTTTTAACCTAAGCAAAGCTCTATTATATATTACATGTTTTTTTAAACCTACAGAATAATAATAAAAAGAGGATGTAGAAAGCCCTGTTGCTAGGACAACACTGACAAGGGAAAGAACTAGTCTCTTCCTGTGTGCAAATGGACTCAGGATAAAAAGCTGACCACAGCCTGCTCAACAGAACCGCACTGATTTTCATCTCTCTTCTGAAGCTCAATTAAACTGTTTCCTCAGGATTATACACATCTAGTATCCAGAACGTGAACAGAGAAAGTGATATTTAAAAACAGGTTGAATATAAATTTAGGCATTACTGTAAGTTAATGACTGAATACATATGACACCATCTAGTCTTTTAAGAAGCACAGATTTGCTCTAGATAAAAGACACTTTAATTAGTTCCAAATGTTAAAATCCCACCGTTATTCTGAAACATTTAGAAACAAGGAGTTATTCCAGCTTCTCTGGAAGTATTTTTTTTCCTAAAGACCTATACTGGATAGAGAAAAAGAGTTAGTATTACAACCCTTACAGGCAATCTAATCACCTTGCATGTATACTACCAACAACTCAAATGCAAGTATGAATCTCACAGTACTACCGAAGGAATATTTAAATCGTTATGAGGAACCAGAAGAGAACTTCTGTTCTTAATATACAGGCTGAGAGTAAGTGGGACAGTGTGGTCTCATGTTCTTTCCACACTGTCTCAAATTATGAACAGAGGTGTTGGTAGAATCACACAGGTGCTTGCTTGCAGAACACTACAGAGAGAGAGAGAAGGATCTTCAAAAGGCAGGTCAGACATCTGAACATCCTTTGAAAATCTGCATTGAACTATAAGACAAAGAAAGTATATCAGTGCTGCTTCTCTTGGAACTGTTAAATTTATTGAGGCTTTACTAAAAATAATGAAAAAGTGTTTACACTTAAACCTCTGCTAGCTTCAGTAAAGAACACTGAGGATGTGTTCATACCAGCTTGCTAAATATTCAAAATATATTGTAGAAGTACCCCTCTCATTTAAATTGCAGTTACCCTAAAAGTAAAACTAGAAAGGTGGAAGTGGTTAAGTTTAATATCCATACTAACTTGGAATAGTTTAATCTAAAAATTCTTTGGCCAGAAATAACCTGTACTTATCTGACTAAAAACTTGCATGATTTTTAGGGAGATACCGATACAATAAAACTGTGCGTAATACTTAGAAAGACCACGCTGGAGGGATGAGACCAAGAAATCCAAAAACATTACCCCAAGCTAAGGGCTACAGGGATAGGAAGCCAGAAAACTGACGCTGTTTTCCTGGCATCTCTATCTACACTGGGTTGAAGGGATCATCTCTATGGCCAATAAAATTACCTGCCATTTCTCTGGTAAGCAACACTGGTTAGAAAACCTCATGGATAAAGGCCCAGTACCAGTAAAAGTGGCATTATATGAAAAAATTAAAAGGCACTCACATGGCTGATTGAGCTGAAAACAATTACACATTCAAAATGAGCCTTACATTTTACTTTAGAAGAAAAATTATCACACAACTTCCCTCCAGAGAAGTGGTTCCACTTGAGAAGACAACAGTAGCCCTGAGAAAACACCAAATTTTCTCTACTGTACTACAACACATTGAATCAATTCACTCTAAAGCTGCTTCAACCAGTTAGCTTCGAGGAAAACAAATGGCAAGGGTGAAAGTAAAAACAGAGAGGATCGCAAAAATGCAAGTTAATTCAGTGATTTGCATAAAATAAACAAGCCTTTTCAACCTATTTAGAAGAGAATTTAGATGAAAAGACTTTTAAGGCTTATCTTGCAACTATTTGTGATGCCTAGCATTTCTACTGGTGGTAGAGTCAATCTTCGGAGACTCTAATAACAAGTTCTAAACTGACAGAAAATGAGATGAAACCCAAAGATGTGGCTTTACAGCAGGGCTTGAAAACTTCTCTGGTTGCTCTTGTAATGAAGTAACGATTGTGCTGATCAAACTAGCAAAAGGAAGCCATTTTTTCAGAAGCTCAAGGGAAGTAAAATAGAGGTAGGGCATACTTTTTGATTCTCACAGTAGTTTCTATACAGTACAGCTATTCAAGAATTACTCCATTAATTTATTCTGTAACTCTGTACAATTTAAAAATGCATCTTAGGTCCTATCAACTTCAAATGGTTTAAATTAACCATGGTCATTAGGTAATCATCTTCTACATGTGCTTCTGGTTAAATATACAAGTAACTTCTAACTACTGCTTCAAGAGCAGCTCTCTTTCAGTATCACAAAATGAGAAGTGAAGTAGCAATAAATACGGTCTAGAGGAACTGTTTCTAATTAAGCTGTAGTATGTGTCTTAAAGTACCTTACTTTACAAGAAAATACGCAGTTGGTTTGCAAAATCTTCAGGAGGCTGTCAAAACATTCAGAAAAATAAGTTTTTACAAAGTTTTATAACCAAATAAAGGTTACTTTCTATAGTCAATTGTAACTTAAAAGGAACAGTATACAGCATTTATAAAGACATTCTATAAAAAACATGTTCACTTATTTTCTGAAGTGCTCTGATCTAGCATTAGATCAGTTGAACTGTGAGTGTAATTTTGGGGGGTTTTGGTGGTGCTTTTGTTTTTTTTTTTTTCCTAAAATAAAACATCAAAGCAAGCACAATGAAAATGTAGTATGAGTACCAGAAAAAGCAACAATAAATGGAACTGCATTTGCAATTGGCATTGGGCTTAATGCGTAGGCTACTCTAAGTTACTGTACTCTTAAGGGACCACAGAAATAAAAAAAAAAAAAACAACCCCAAAATATGATGTTGGTATGGGGCTTTGAATTTTAAGAAAAGAAAGAAGACTGAAAATAGCACACAGAGGTTTCTAACACACTAGGTGGATGTGTCCATGAATACAACACATCCATGCTGTGGAATACTTGAGCGATCAGTTTTAAAAATACCTTAAAACCCAAGATATGAATGTGTTCTAGTCTGGTTGCTCTCATGCACTTATAGGAAATATTTAACATTAAAATGGTATCATAAAATTGGGTAGGTCTTTAGTCCACAAAGAGTCATATAGCTAATGACCGTTTAATAGTCCTACAAGTTGAAGATTTCATGCCCTGGCTTCAGGACTAAACTTATTACAATAATCACAACTGTAAATTTTAAAAGTATACAGAAAAACTCAAAAATCAGTTCCAGAGTACGGATTTTATCCAAAGGCCACAATTTGATAAATGTTTCCATATTGCAAGTGCACTAAATATTGGTCCATTTGGTGCTGCAATACAAACTCTGATGATGTCCTCAGCTTTCAAAAACAAACTTCCAAATCCAAAAGCAAGCTAACCACCTTTCATTTTTGCCATCTAATTAGATTTTGATCAACTCTGATAAAATTAAGGAGAAATCACATTTTCAGATTAGTAGGATGGGGCAGAAATTTTCCAAACTTCCACAGAAATGAGCCAAAGCATCAGAATTATGAGGTCCCATATTAAGTCTATTTTATAAGGATATCTTCAGTTCTCTCAAGCTTTGTGGTATCTTTACAAATAATGACTCGTGATGTCAGATTTTGTAAGAGACACCAAAAAAACCCAGAAGGCATTTTAAAAGTCATGTCCTCAAAAAAACAAAACCAAGCCCCCAAAATCTGCCTTCAGTAATCATTACATTCTTTTCCAAATCCAACCAGACCGAAGGGATCTTCCCAAAATACCAGCTGCATCTTTAAACAAATAAAGAAGGCAAGTGAATATCTTCACAAAACCTTCAAAGTAGCAACTGCTTAATCTGCTGCTTTGGCTGATATTTTGTGTTGCTAGTCTTCCACTGAAAATTAAAGCATTAATATTATTTCCATTACACATAAAAATAATTACTGTTCTTACTGTGGGAAGCAATTGTCTACAGTTCCCTCATCTCGTAGATAGTAGCTTACTGGTTTTAAAGTTGTTTCTTGTAAGCACACATTGCAAATTGTGCTCATAATATAGCTATAATTAATGAAAATAATTCTTCATTGATCAATTATATATAAAACTGACGGGCTTAAATACTCAGAAGTAAACTTGCAATATTGTGATGCTGAGCACTTAAAGGTTTGGCATTCCTTCTTCTGGAAGCTTGTTTTCAGAGAGTGTATTGCATATTAAAAGTTTGATACTGGCTACATGTACCAAAGAACATAAACGATATCCCCAAACAGTTCACTTTCAGTGCCCAACAGAGTGAAACCCCCTTTCTTATAATGGCAACATTCAGTAGCTAATCACTTCTTAAAAACAGTTACAGAAAATCTGCTATTTTCTTCTCCCCTCCCCAAATTTAGTTCCCCTTGCCATAAACAAATGTCATTCAGGTGGAAAATAGTTCAGTGTAGTGACATCTGGTATCTCAACTGAAATTTGGCAGCCCAAGAAGAGCACCGACAGCTCCGAAGTATCCCTGTTCAAAACAAACAAAAAATATTTCAGGTTCAAGCAAGGTATCAAATTCTGCACTAATCACATTTCCATGACAACAAAGCATCTGGTGGACCAACACTACAGAAAGAACACCATGCACTTTTAATATATAATCTTTAATAATAATTTTTTTAAGCTTTGTGAAACAAACATTTTATCCTTCTTATCTAGCTTAACTTTAGGCAATGTCACCCCAAGCCTCCCCATACACTGCAGGACTTCAAACACATGGAAATCAGGTTTGGTTTGTTTTTCCTAGAGGAGATGCATATTTTGGTTGCCACAGGATCTTCAATATCCATAGCAACACTATTCCTAAGGTGTAAGTCAAAAATTCATAAACTAACTGCACCTCACATTTAAAAAAAAAAATTATGTCCAGGGTTCAAAACCATATTTTTGACTGTATACTTACATGCATATAAAGAACCACATTCTCCTGTTGGGTTACTTTTCCCCTCTGGGGAAGCGAGATGTTCCCCCGCCCTCCATAACTATGAAATATAGAAGTGTTTGAAATCTACACTTGACCGAATGCAAGAATTTAAAATTTATCCAAGAAGAATCTGAAGGGTGTAGAACTAACACGGAACCATTCTGCTATTACTGCAGATACTAGCACCAGGACAGACTACTGTCAGTCTCAGGATGGGCAATAAAAGAAAAAAGTTGCGAGAATCAACTGAAGGGGAACAGATGTAATGCTGTAATATTTCCAGATCAACAAACTGAGGAAAAAAATTGCCAGCCAACTGTGCCAAGAAGCTACAAGTCTCCCAGCTGTTGCACATGTGTAATTAATATTGGTTGCCTGTATTTTAACCAAAACAGGTCAACTCTCTCAGCATTACATACTGATTGAACTGGAGAAGCTACCCAAAAGCAGGTTAGTCTCAGAGCATAAAATCACTACAGTGATTTAAGGTGTATCTGTGGTGGTATGAAATCAGTCCTTCTTAAAAGCAGTCTCAACTTTCAGGACATTGCTCAAGCTCAGTTGAGAACAATATAAGTGTTTCAAAGGCCCATGCTTTAGATCTCTCTGCAATCCTCTGAAATACAATACCTACTATTGTTTCCACACAAAACCAAGGAAAGACTGTTGAACCTCAGTGCAGAGCTTGACATTTTTTTGTCCCTCACCAAGGATCTCTAGTGTCAACTGAGATATCCCAAAGTGACTGAAGTACTTCCCTGGCAGAGAGAGCTATCCCCAGAGAACCAATACAGCATGACAAACCTCCTCTTATTTTCAGTGTTGACTTAGTCCCTGATGTCTCAGGATATCACACATAAGAGCTACTCAACAGATGCATTTCTGATTTATGGTAAAATAGTACATACAGATAAATGAACCACAGCATACCTCATGTTCTAGGAACAAGGCCTTCAGCTGGCCTTTTGACCAGTAATCCAGTGCATATGCAAGAAGCTTCATTGACAAAGTATTCACACGTAAAAAATTGCCAACAAACACAACTCTGTTTATTTTCTAAAAAGAGAAAAACAGCAAAGGATTAAGTCTTTTCACTGTTTAACACAGCTTTGAAAAATGAAGCTATGAAAGAAAAGACTGTCTTGAGGAAGAAAAAAAAAAAAAAAGCAGACCCCCAAAATGAACAATCCACAATAAAAATATGGTTCCAAAATTTAAAACACAGCATACTTGAGGAAAAGGAAAAACCATGCAACCCTCAAGAATTAAAGGACTTAATTAACAGAGAAATCACATTTGTGTTTCAAATCAAGTAAGCATTCTCAGTAATTAGGCTGAAGAAACAGCTCACCTAAAAGTAAAATAGAATGAAAAAATACTTGTATTTGGTAGAGAAGACTCAATGCCTTCATAGCCCTGTACAATGCTGCTTGATCCATATGCAACAAGGCAGCACTGTAAAGAAGCCGAAGACAGTAAGACATAACAGATATTCCTTTCATCTTCAGACTTCAATATACCTCAGCATAACATTAAACTAAGACTTAAATACTAGAAGTGATCTGTGAATTTTAATCAAGTCAAATGTAAAAAAGTGAAAATGGTTTAATTTTCCCCATTCACTGAAATAATCCAACATTATGTAGAAGCATCATTAAACACTGGTTTAATGATATAAGAGCAAGAACCAAAGAAAATTTAATTCTTAGTGTTTAAATAAGTGCTTAATTATGTTCAGTGAATATTCATATCCAAGTTGTTACAAAAACTAGTATGACAATTCAACCTGTAGTCAAATGACTAACATGCAACTGTTTTTCACTGTCTTGATTAGTTCACAGTGAAGACAAAGTAAACACACTGCTAAGGCACCCAAACATAATGTTGCTCTATGGCAGGAAGCCGAATAATTAAATCCATTTTGTCTTTATACATCAGTTCAAGATACTGGTTTGTGTATTCCTGCTATTTCTTATGATTTGTAGTTCTGTGACATAGTTGGAATTAGACCAAACCAACTTGGAATAAAGCTAATTTGTGCAGTTTACAAGTTCTGATTTGTAGTTGTTTACCCCCACTCTTGAATATAAATTGTATACATTTGCCTCAGACTCAGACTATGAGTATGTACTTTCAACTTCACCCTCATTATAACTCTTTTGTTATAAAGCTTTGGCATAAAGCAAAAGAGCCAAAATTAACTTAATACCTACAAAATAAACTTTCTTCTCCAAGACAGACATGACAGAAAGACGGAGAAGGAACTTGAGGGAGAACTTCCAGTATTAAAACCAGAAAAATATATTAGTCTGGATCCTAAGCAAAAGAAGGGTTACTGCAGCTAACAAGGTTGATATTTCTGAGACTTTCACATCCACAGCTTTTAAACAGAGTTCTAAATACAGTTACCCTTAGTCTTCTCTAAGAAAACCGTTACTAAACCTCAGTTATCCAAAGTTTGTTGATAATGAATGAGAAAATCCCTGGTGCTCCAACACCCGTATCTTCTATGCCTGAATTCGGTATTCTTTCCTAGGTTCTTGACTGTCCAGTGCTAATCATACTGGAACTGAACACATACTGTTTCTGTTGAGCAGTGCTTTGAGAAATAGAAGATGGCAGGAAACCGTCTCTGCATCATCCAGTAAGATAGGTGTCAAAACAATTAGAAGTCTCAAGAGTTGATAAAAATTAAAAATAATGTTTAACTAGAAGCAAGGCTTTCTATGAGCTTTAATCAGAGAATAATTTCAGCTTGATGAAACTGCTGGAGGCCATCAGGTCCTATGCACTACTCAAAGCATGTTGTTCAGCAACTTAAATACTGAAGCTGCTCAAGTCATATGGTTTGAAACTCTCCAAGGACACAGAGTCCACAGTCTCTCTCTGAGTCCATGTTTCAGGGCTTAACCACTCTCATTGTGAGCATCTTTTTTCCGTTATACCAATCAGAACTCCATTTGCTACAAGTTGCATCTATTGCTTCCTGTTCTTCTGCTCTGCACAGCTGTACCCTGGCAGTGTCTTCCCTGTAACCCTCTCTAGACAGTGACAACCATTCCACACTTCAGCTTCTTCTTCAGGCTTGACCCGGATTCCTCCACGTCTGCTCACACATTAGGTGCTCCAGGGCAGAGCCCTGTCTTGGTAACCTGTCTGTTAAGACTTGTTCTAGTTTGCCAGTGCTTCTCTTTTGGTGATGGTGGTGGCTGGGGGGAGGAGAGGGGGAAGAGGTCATGCCCAGAGTATCACCACCTCTGCTAATGCATCTCAGTACAAGGTCAGCCTTCACCGCTGCACATGTACACTGCTGATTCGTGTTCAGTTCATCTTGTCTGCCAGCACCTTCCTCCCTTCTGCAACGCTGCTCCCTACCTAGTCTGTATACCACCTTTTGCTTTTGCTGTGAGGATGCTATCCTGGAAGATCAATGAGCTATTTTCGTCTCCTTATGCCATTGGGACAACCGCCCACAAGATCTAGCTTCCTAAATCCTCCCAACACCAGAATCCTGTTCTACTCAAGTCCATCGACAGTCTCCATTCTGCTACGTGCCTTCTTCACTTTCCTCAGGATCTTAAACTCTACAGTTTCAAGGCTGTCACTAAAATCCCTGACCATTTCCTCACTCATGAACAGCAGGTCCAGCACCATGCTTGCCTAGTCAGCCTGCCTAGCACTCGTGTCAGAATATTGTCCCCAGCACACTGAGAAGTACAGATTGCTTGTTATCTGCCATGTTACCCTTTCAATAGAGGTCAGGATAGTCCCTCATGAGAATCAGGACTTACAGGTCCTCTTGTGACCCATGCTGCATGTGTTTGTGTACACATACTTAAGTGGGCCCACAATTATCCTGTTTTTGCAAGGAGACTTGAAGTCCTTTCATCACAACATCCCATGCTTCCCTGCTCCTTCACTTACCTGTAGGCTTTGGGCTTCGTTCCCTAATAAAGCTAGCTTGAAGCCCCCTCATCAGGTTACCCTCCCCACTTGCAAGGATATCCTTGTCCCACTTCTCCAAAGACAGAATATTCTGAACCAATTGCTAGGTCTTTAATATTACATTAATTTCTTTGTTTGATTTGAGAATGTCCTGAAAGGTTTAAAAATGATATATCATTTTAGCAGTCATTTAATCTGAAACCAAGTAATAGACGTATAAATAGATCATTTCCTTGTCAGAAGCTTTTACCTCATTTACTGCACACATCCGGGCAATAGACCCAATATTATTGGTGATGGTGACCAGTATGGCTCTTGCAAGATCTTCTTTACTAACAGACTCTCTCTTCTCTTTGTAGATCATATTTCCAAAACTAGAACAGGAAAAATCTTCATTAAGTACAAAGTGATTCATGTGCATTTGAAGTAATTTCAGAATGCAATTTTTATGCTATAACAGAACTTAAGTCTCATCTCTGTTCTTAAGGAGCTCCCTTTTTAAGTCTGTATTAAATACAGCAATTTGACAACTGACACTATAATGTGTGTATTTATTCCTTCACACAAAACAGTCAATCTTGTTACAATAATGACCCCTAACAAAATACTTTTGTTTAGATTATTGACTTCCATGAAGAATCATCTACAGCAAAAAGTAGTCTTATTCTTAGGCAAGACTACTCTGCAAATCTAGTTACTGTAAATTAAGTCAATGCCTATGTCTGACTGGTGAGTCCTCCAACTCCTCATGATTGCTTCCTCACTCACAGTATCTATCCAATTCTCTATTGTCAAAGTAGAAATAAACCAGAGGTGAGTTGAATGGTTTTATGATAGAACACAATCCTCTGAAACAGAAAATAAACAGCTGTCAGAGTGCAATTCAGGTTGTACAAATTAAGAGTTCTAGATTAGAAAGGCATTTCCATTACTACACACAGTAGATCATTTCCCATGAATTATAAAAAAGAAAAAACAATAAAAGAATCCATAGTTATACATGATATTTTACCACTAAGGACCGTGCCATATCTAAGTCAGTTCTGAGAGCCAGAATCCTGATTATTCTAAAACTTAATAGTCATCAGCAATCCTAAGGGTCTTAAAAAGTAAATGAGAACAAAAAGTACCTATATACAGAGAGAGTTAAGATGTATTGACTAAAAGTGTAAAGCTTGCACATATTAAAACCTCTCAGCACATACTCTCTCAAGAGGTTTGGGCTCAGCTGGCTGGAGAGCGAGAAGAATTACGTTACCATGAATTAAAAACTCTTATTACTGAATAAGAGCAAAGATTTAATGAACTCTCTTATATACATACTAGTTTCGCTCCTAAAGTTTATTCTTCTTACATTTCTTAAGGGTAGAGAAGTTGTAACAGCACCAATAATCTTCCTCTACAGAAATGAATCTTGCAGCTATGAAAAAAATCCTATGTCATTAACAGTAAAATACATTTGTTCTCATGGTGCAAACTGTTTAGGTTCAACAGCCTTCATAAGTGATAAAAGTATTTAAAACATTATGCCAGGTCCTGTACTGACAACCATGTATCAAAAAAAGCAGACTTTCCCAAAAAATTAAGAGATACTAACATAAGAGCAACACAAATGCCATCTTATACTCACCTTCCCTCTGGACAATGGCCCTAATAAAAGAATCTAGGAAATCAAAATGTAATCGGATTTGTTTTTCCTCTATACTCTGTTCTTGCCACTCCTGTGATCACCTCACGTTCTGACTCATGTACAGCTGTATATGACATACCACATGACGTTTCCTCAATACCTAGCTAGCAGGCACCTGCAGTTTTTAGGCTTTAAATCTTACAAAAACTGAGTATGTATGCTTTTAGGATAAAAATGTAACTTGACTACAATAAAAGTTTGCAAAAAGCAGTTTTCTCTGTATTAATTGTTTAAGTCTTGATTTTGAAGGCCCCCAAACCAGCAAAAAGAACAACAAAAAAGATCTCTTGCTTACCTGGATGCTACAGCCCATCCTGGCAAGCCAAATCTTTCGTAGTCTCCTCCATAAATATCTCGAACCAGCTTGTCAGCGTGTGTGCTGTCTCCTTTAGATGCCATTTCCAGAGCTTCTTCAAAACTTTCACAGCCCGTCAACAAACTGCATAAACCAAGAAAGGTCCCTCCACCTAGACTAAGAAGAAAGAAGACTGGTTGCTTTTAAATAGTATTTTCTCTCATCAAAGATTATTATTTCTGACTAAGAAAATAAACAAATAAAGCCCTCTAACTTAGATACCAAGCTGTCTGCTTTCTTGTTCAAGGTTTACTACATAAACAGTCAATCAATTTAACATTTTTATGTCACTTACAAGAAAATAGACATATATTAAGAGCTAACAAATAGTTATAAACTCTCAAAAGATAAGCTGAAGACGTAAGAGACAAAATCCCTAAACACCCACATTGTGCCACTGACTCTGATCTTTGATCATTTACTGTAAATCACGTGTGGACATATTTATTCTTATGGAGCAAGAGAAACAGGTTCACTGGACACACTATCAAAACTGAAGACAAAACCTGTAAAACTGTTACTACAGAGCACTTCTAGCACTCATTGATTGATAAGTAAGATACTAGCTAAACCTCCTCAATAACAGAACTATGGGAATGGGCTTCAATGAATGCAGCTGTAAATTAAAGATAAAATCCTTTTCCATATTACAGAATGAGGGAAGAGGTAGGTGGGGGAAATCAGGGGGAGGAACCACTTTGAAAACAGAAGGCTCACTGTTCCACAGAGTAACAACCCCAAAGTAGGATTTTAAGTTACCTTGTTCCAGTTACTCTTTTGTAGTTGTCTTTGGAATGGACTGATAAAATACTGACTCCTGAACCAATGTTAACAACCAGCAATGGGTATGGATCATCCAGGTTAAAAGGCATCTTTTGGCATCTCTCAGGATCTGAGGCATTTTCAAAATAATAGCACTCTGCCTGGCCATTGAAGCTGACAGAGTCTATATACAATAAGCCTTTGACAAGGCAGTCAAGCTCATCCAGTTTGTGCAGCTGGAGGTTTCCAATCTGTGTTAAAAAAGAAGATGACAGTGTCAACATGTTCTAACATTGCTTAAACACGCTACAAATTTGCAAGTATATTTGTACTGCCTAACTTTAAGAAGCTATCTTGGGGAACTAATTCAGGAACTTCAATCCCACTATAAAGCCAACAAAGAATTCAGAGGTAAATTTTGAATACAATAATTTGCAAATTACTCTATCAATCTAGATCTCAGACCTGACTCAAGAAAAGACAGGCAGTATAAATATCTGCTTTGGTAAACCCAAAGATAACTTGAGATACTCAGACATTAATCCACTGAAAAATTAGCAATATTTTTCATCAATCAAAATCAAAAAAGGTCAGCAAATATACTAGAGGCCCCATCAAGTGTCATATTGATGAAACTTGCACATCTTTTCAAGGTTTGTGTGTTTTCTCCCCCATCTTAGAACGCAAACAGTCCTTTCTAAGATGTCAATAGTTTTATCTACTTAAGATAAAAATGTCAGTGGCATCATATTAACTACTCTTGCAACTTTATTAAAACTCCAGGAATCATAAGAAAACTACAGATCAGAAATTCTACAAGACTTTAGGCTCGTTACAGTTCTTCCTGTTTTGCACATGACATTTAAGCTGCTGTTCTCCAATAAAGCAGAAAGACAATTTCACATGTGCTGTGGATTCCAGAAAGGCTGTAATATTGCACTATACTTACTCTAATTTAACTCCAGGCTTTCACAAAAAGGATGATCATGCTCTCTCCCTTACCACAGCAGGGAGTTCCAACGGTTATAGCATCCAATTAAACAGCTAATTCAAGAAAAAACTCCCATAAAGTCTATCTCTCGATCAGGTGAGCTCACATTTAGAAAGCAGCCTGCAGTTAGATTATGAAGTTGCATAATCTGACAGGATTGCACATTGCTGACTGACATCAGTACCAGATCACAGCACTGTCAGTCCCCTCTTCTTCCCCCAGGCCCTTCAGCTTTTCTTGCCATGGCACAACTGTGAAGCTTCAGTGTTGAGCAGATCAGGGAACTGTTCCAACATAAAATATTTCTGTGGGGTTTTAGATAACGAATTAGTTCTGCTGTACAAATTGTTACCCTACCCCACAAACAGTGTACCAGCTCAATACAAGACTGGCACAGGAATGGAAATACAAGCAGATTTTTGAAACCAAACATTCTGCACTATTTAAAGTCTTCTTCTCTAGAAGTACAAGAGATCTGTAGCCACTTTAAAACTAGGACATGTGCACACTGAGTACTGTGGTAAGATTCTCAGTTAGTAACATCTTTGGATAGGAACTGCATCTAAAATGAATGATCCTTTTTGATTGTGAGGGGAACAGTCAAAACACCTCAGGAAAATCCCAAACTGAAAAAAGACTGTCTTTGAGCTGTGTGTTTTGCCACAGGTCTCTAAACAATGCACTGGACTAAAATAATGAGGATAATCCCACCCACAAACACTGAAAACCTATCATCAAAAACTGCTTTGGAAGGAAAATCCAAAGTGACTGACACACCTCAGCAGTTTAAGCACATTTCCCATCAGAGAAAACATAGATTACAAAATGGTGAACTTTCACAAAGATGTCCTGCATTTCACTGCACTAATGGAATTTTCTAACTAGCTGTTAGCATTAGGTCTTCAGGGTTATGATGATGATGTCAGAAAGCATATTTCTAGATTATCATGCATAAGACTGAAAAACAAATGAATAATTAATAACTTTGAGCATTCCACAGTTTTTCCAAAATACTGTTTATTTTAACCCATCATCAGCAATGCTTTTAGCATCAGCTTCAGTACAAGGAAAGATAGGCTACCTACTGTGCGAAAGTCTTCTTCAAACTTGTAAGCGCCACCGCCAGTGGCACAGAGCACCGTATGTAGTGTTGAAAAGTTTTTATTTCTTCCCATTTGGATAAAAGTAGGCAAATCATGAGTTGGAAATCGAATAAAGTGCAAGTTTCCTCTTCGAGCAAAAATCGTTAGGTCTTTCAGCTCAAGATGAACATCTCGAATGCCAGTGGATCCATAGGCTACATTGGAAGTCAGATATTTGCGGATGCTCTTCAAGCTTTCAACTTCTTCCTGCTCCTCCTCTGCAGTGATATCAATAGGTTCAAAATATGCAAGTTTCACCAAAGTTCCCCCAATGTCCATGCCAAACCATGGAAAAGCTGTGAAGATACAAGAATTGATCAATTAGCTTTGTTAAAGAACAAAAGCAATACATATAACTTAAGGCTACACCAACACTATACTTTTCAACAAGACAGACATTAACAAAAATCATCACAGCAACAAAGAATTAGTACTCATTTCCTTACAGGATCTTAAAATATCCCTCCTGACACAGGTAAAAATAGAAAAAAGAGCAACTCTATTTACACCTTTAAATGCTATCACATGTGCTCATAAGGCCCAACTAAAAACTCCCCTAACCATACTGTATCTTTCATACCAACTCATAAACAAATTAAACATTCTTTTTTTTTTTTTTTCACAACAAAGGATTAAAATAACCTTCATTCCTAAAATAATAGTTTTGACATAGTTTAGTACAAAGACTGCAATGCACACTGGTGAGAAAGCAGGTTACACGTTGTAGCTAACCGTGGCAGGACAGGTGTTCCTCCTGTTATCTTTTCCTCACAAAACATGTTTTGTTTGAGAGAGAAGCATTAATTTATTTGCATGTATTTTAAAAATTGAGACAGTAAAGATGTCAAATTTATGGAGATGAAAAGAGCTGTTTATACATCCCTTGAAGTCACAAAGGGCTAACAAAAAGTACTATTAACAAGTACATGTAAGATAAAAATTAGTATTATTGAATTTAGGTTCCATTTTTCTTTTTTTGTATCTTGGATAGGAAGGGGGAATTTCTGTACTACAAAACAACACCACTAAATCACAGATACTTTGTCACTTTTGTGAGATGACTGCAATTCTTAACAGGGATTCTATGATTTATGTCACCTAGGACCATGATTTGAATACACCTATACCAATAAATCTTCCTAACCACGTGCGGTAAAGAAGATACTCGGCAACCCTACAGCAAAGACAGCATCTTCATCTGAAAGTTTCCGCACTGTAATTTCCTAGAAACAGTGTTTAAAACTTAATCTGTAAGTTTAAAAAAGATCCTGAACATCCATCTCGGAAGCTCGTATTTTTATTTCCTAATTGAATGTAACTTGATGGGTTGTTTGGTTTTGGTTGTTTTGTTTTGTTGGGGTTTTTTTTGTTTTTTGTTTTTTTTGTTTGTTTGGTTGGTTGGTTGGTTTTTTTTTTTTTATTTTATGGTTTGGTTGGGGCTTTTTTTTTTTTGCTTTTGTTTTTTTTAATATTCTGTAGTTTCAATTGATTTCTTCAGATGCAATTCATGTATTATAGAAGCATGAAATTCAGGAACAAAACCAAAAAGATGTTAACATGGTCATCATTAATGGCTTGCCGTCCAAGTGCAGAGCAGTGACGAGTGGTGTTCCTCAGGGGTTGGTTTTGGGAGCAGCTCTGTTTAGCATCTTTGTTGGTGACATGGACAGTGGGATCAAGCGCACCCTCCGCAAGTTCCCCGCTGACACTGGGCTGTGTGGTGGGTGACACGCGGGAGGGCAGGGATGGCATCCAGACGGACCTGGGCAGGCTGGAGAGGGGGGCCCGGGCAAACCTCATGGGGTTCAACAAGGCCAAGGGCAAGGTCCTGCCCAGGGGTCGGGGCAATCCCCAGCACAAACCCAGGCTGGGCGAGGAGTGGCTGGAGAGCAGCCCCGAGGAGAGGGACTGGGGGGGTTGGTGGGGGGAAAACTGCCCGTGAGGCAGCCCCGTGCGCTCGCAGCCCAGAACCCACCCGTGCCCTGGGCTGCAGCCAGAGCAGGGGGGGCAGCAGGGCCAGGGGGGGATTCTCCCCCTCTGCTCCGCTCTGGGGAGACCCCCCTGCAGTGCCGGGGCCAGCTTGGGGGCCCCCAACAGCAGAAGGACCCGGAGCTGCTCGAGCGGGGCCAGAGGAGGCCACGAAGATGCTGGGGGGGCTGGAGCAGCTCCCCTGGGAGGCCGGGCTGAGAGAGTTGGGGGGGTTCAGCCTGGAGAAGAGAAGTCTCCAGGGGGACCCTCGAGCTGCCTCCCAGGGCTTAAAGGGGGGACAGGGAAGGTGGGGAGGGACTCTGGGTCAGGGGGTGTGGGGTTAGAACGAGGGGTGACGGTTTTGAACTGCAAGAGGGTAGATGTAGATTAGATAGAAGGAAGAAATTCTTCCTTGTGCGGGGGGTGAGGCACTGGCCCAGGGTGCCCAGAGCAGCTGTGGCTGCCCCCTCCCTGGAAGGGTTCAAGGCCAGGTTGGACAGGGCTTTGGGCAAACTGGGCTGGTGGAAGGGGTCCCTGCCGATGGCAGAGGGTTAGAGCTAGATGATCTTTAAGGTCCCTTCCAACCCAAACCATCCCATGATTCTATGATCAAGAGTAAGATGTAGTTATGTTGGATTTACGTTACCAGTGGGATCTATCCTTGAGAAGAATTGCCTACCAAAAAATTTTAGTGTATTTAGTCAAAGCTGGCTGCGTGCCAGTTCATTTATTACATGAGTACAAAAGTTAAAGAAACTTAAAAGTTGCTTCAACTTTCAGGAATGGATGTCCAGAGAATATTGTTAGATATTAGAATGAGTTGGTAACCTTTCTCAACTTGAAAAACAAAATTTATATACAAGGGTAAATTCTGCGAGTAAAATCTAGCTCCAAGTGGGAATGGAGTTCTATAAACCTGGTATCTGTTCTATAAAGCTGAGATCTAAGCATAAAGTCACATATGAACTGACTTTACAACTGCATACCTGACTTGTTTGCACTGTGACTCTGGACATAAGAAAATCTGTCATGTTACTGTTTGAACACAATTAACTGATGATTTATTAAGTGATCTCACTAAGTTTCAGCCTCTTCTTGTAAACGATGTCACAAGACCAAACCAAAGGGAAGTTGATTCACCCAGCAGACCAGAAAGTGTCTGTAGGAGTCAATCCAACCCATTCAGAATTTAGCTAGGACACAGCAAGCCAACTACTATCTAAAACACTCGGGCTTCTTCCTGCTCAGTGGGCCTACTGAATAACTAGGATCTAGTCTTCCACAACAAGAAAGAGGGGGAAACAGCTAAAAGTTCAAGTGATGAGCTTAAGAAAGATTGGTGCACATCATGCCCGTTTGTCAGATGATCCACCCTATCCCACCTTAAATGATCCAAAAGGCTTTTGCAAATATAGCATTAGTTGCATCTCTTAAAATATTAATGTTTATAAATCTTGTATACCTAGGAAAAAACAAGAACAGTTGAACTGTAAGGAAGTTTATTCCATAATTCAATTGAGAACATATTTTAAGCAAAAGAATGGGATCATGCTGTACAATATCAGTTTTCTGGGTTAACTGAGTGATCTTAACAGCAATTTAAAGATTTTTTGAAACTGAATAGGTCAGTTTTCACCTCTGTGACAAACCCCAATAAGTTTCACATTTTTCTATTGCAAATTTGTCAACACTGCGCTGGTAAGTATATTGCTCAAGTTTCATTTACAAGGTGGAGGAGTTCTGACAAGCAACTGGGCCCACGTAATGTTAACTTACTTCTTATACCGTCAATCCAGAAGAAGATATTACACAAGGATTCTTGTGTATGTAAGCCACTCAGTTTATATACAGGTCTAGCAAGGAAAATTAAAGCCACTTTATTTTCCAGACACAGAAGGGATACACATACATGACAAGCGTACAATCAGTTGAACTGTAGCAGCAATTTTGGGACTGCAAGGATACAAGATTTGTCCATGCTTGGGCTACCTTTAAATATTAGAAATACACTAATTCTATAGAGTTAGAATGTAATTGTACATGGACACAATGTGGAAACCTTGTGAATTCTCCTCCTATTGCTGCAGCCTTCAAATCAATTTGCTTTGGGTGGATCTTGGCTCAGGATCCCTCCTACATGGAAGCAGGGCAAATGGAGAAAACAAGAACCTGTGTGAAAACACCAGTTCCTCTTCCAATTACTGAAAAAGTGATTTCATTTTCAGGGTTAAAATAAGGTCACAGAGATTCAGGATGGAGGACTGCTCAGAAAATACACTATGGAGAGCATGTTCAAGTTTCCTACAAGACTTCCCCTCCAGAGGGCAGCCAGGCTAATCATGGCAGTGGCTAAAGATGACACCTCTACTTTAACTCATGCCACACATACAAGAAAACTGTGGATTACTTTACACCGCATATAGGAGCACTCTAAGGTGATGTTGTTATTCTTTGAGGCATGTTTGAAGCATAAGAGTTTTCACTCTATATATGGTATCTGTAGCATATAGACCAGCATCTGTAGCTGGTGTAGCCTCTCAAATACATGAGAATTTTAATTCTGAGGCAGTCTTGTATTTGAAAGCTGTCTTGGAAAAAGACAAAAATAGTATGGTACATACCTTGGGCTGGGAATATAGAAATGACTCTATAAAAAATATTTTTATACCCATATTGGTGGGTCATGCTTGAGTGAGATATTTAGGAGAAGAATGACGACAGCACAGTCATTTGAAAAAAATATCCCCAGACATCAGCTTGATCCTGTGGCAGTCACAGTTAAAGAAATGTGCCTGGATAAGACCAGTACCAATTGCACAACTTTTGGTCCAAGCTTATAGCTCTGCAGATACCAGGTTTGAGGATTTGAGCAACTGTAACCATTATGCCACAGCTTCAATTCATACGAAGAAACAATGCACCTACATTAAGACTGGGCTTCTTCTGCAGCTCTATGGGAATTTGGTCATTAAACGATTTTTCTCTGCTCTTCCTCTTTTTTAACTGTTCTTACTTTTAGAAAGACTCTACAAAAAGTGGTGCACAGCTCAGAATTAGTACTTGCTGAGAATTTAATTGCTATTCACAGAAGAAATCCAGTGTCCTGTCTTTTCAAAGTTTAGCTCCTCTCTGCAGAGGACAGCTTCAACTTGAAAAAAGAAAAGCAAGACCTGAACATTTTACTCAACAAGTCCAACTGCCTTGGATAGACTACATAAAACTGCTTCAAAAACATATAGTCTGATTTTAGGAAGTCAAGCCAGGCTGTATTCAAGAATACATAAAATAGATATTTTTACTATCTGAGAAGAGGCTAATATGCAAATGC